ATTTAGAAATAACAGAAACAATAAAAACATATTCATTATGTATGAAGTTTAAGTGAACACTGACGCCTCTATTACACAGGTCAATATTGGTAGCCCTTCCTGTGACTCAGTACCCATGAAGTAGGTCTCAGCCTTAAAAAGGCTGGTGAGGCCTGTTTTCAGGAGTTTTTAACAACTTGTCAATACTAGTTCTTAGATGACATGTACCCAAGGCTAAAATTTGTTACCTTATTTACATGTTACTTCTTCCATTGCCTTACTTCTGCTGCATTTGGTCAATCAACTTGTCGTAGTTCTGGGTGTGGCTATATACATTATCCATTAATGTTAAATCACAAGGTCCTATTGCAGTTCAGAAAAATGTGCAGTCAGACTAATGGTGCTTCCAGATCAAATTTGTTCTGGGTGTCCAAAATATTTGAACTCCAAAAGTTGAACATTGGGTCAAATACCAAATACTTAACGCCTTAATTGTTAAAGTGGTCTGTCTTTTCATTGCAATGTAGAAAAGCAGATACTGCAAAGTAAATAGTTGAAGAAGTATACATTATATACAAAGTTTGAATTCCTGGACTTTGTAACATTTCATATTTTTATTTTTATCCACATCATATTATTGAACCACAATGTAAAATTTGAATTATGCTTTTAGGAAAAAAAAGGAAAAATGCTTTATTCAGTCAGTTGGAGCCATTTAGTTATGCTGAATAGACTATACAAGCTTTTCCTAGCACAGATGTTTGACTTATCCGCTCTCTAACAGTATTTTACAGCACATTGGGGCCAGTTTTCTTTTCTCTTCACTCTCTAGTTCTCCTTTCACTCCTTTTTGAGTAAGAAAATTGTAAACGTAGTGGTACTCTTGAGAAAAATCTTCAGGTACCTTACCCACCTTTTACTTTCAAACTATCTAATTAAGGGAAACCATTGAACCCTGGTTAAAACCCTATTTCATTTAAAACCTTGCTCCCCCATAAAAAAAAAAAAACAACAAGAAAAAAAAAACATCTTTATTCTTCTCTAAGGCATGTGATTAAGCACAAAATTGAATAATACTGGTCTACAAACAACTATAGTGTGCTTGTGTTGACAAAGACAAAGTGCGAAATGTGTAACCATTAGACACATCTCTAACAAATCTCTCTTTGCTCTCTGGACATGTTAAGCCTCATAATTAAGTAATCAGCTCATGGCAGCTGGAGCACTTGGCAGCTCATTCTCATAGAGCCCTGAAAACAACTTGAGAGATTATGTTTTGATTCTCCCCTCTTTGTAAATTTATCTCTTGTCATGTCAGGAAAACCTAAGCTAGGATAATGCATTTAGCACTCTAGTTTCTCTTTTGACTTACAGTGCACAGACACAAAGCAATTCAGATGTATCATCTGCAGATGCAATTTCAATAATTAGACTTGACTAAGAAGTAAATGCGTTCTTTGACTTCTCTGTAAACATTTTAAATTTAGGACCCAATTTCTTCACTACTTGCACAAGTTTCTGTTTCTAACCAGTTACATCCATCAATAAACCTAAATTATATCTTTTAGTCTTTGCATAAACATTCCTCCTGCCTCCACTACATAATGTAACAACCTTCTTGATTAATAGGAATACTTATTTCATCATTAAGGCTGATTAATTCCATTAGTCTTTGACACTTTAAACTATTCAGTGCTAGTGCGGAGTATCAATTACCTACCATGACAACCATTTAAAAGCTGATACCCAATATTGCAGCTGAACAAATGCACATAAGATGATACTTTAATATATAAACCACCCAGTTCAAGCAATTGCTTTACTATACATTTGCAAAAGCACAGTTTGATAAATTACTCTCCATGTCTGTTTGACTCAAGACATCATATATGCCTGTGTGCACAGTCTCTGACTTGGGAAATGGAAGCCATTGATTTTCTTACTGCATCTGTGTAGTATCTCCCCTTTCCTGCCAGCACAACATGTAATATGAGACCGCAAGTTTTCCTTTTTACCTAAAGCAATCAATTACGCTCAGCTGAGATCTATGGCATAGATTGGTCCTCCCTAAGTGCCTTTCTCCCTGAGCCAACATCCTTGCATGTCATCATCCCTGATAAGAGCTTTAAGCATGGTAATAATTACAACAAAATGTCTGGATGAACCAAATCCAATTACAGCTGGCAAATCATTGTGACAGCAGAATGTGAAGAGTGTCATAGCTATAGTTTGCTGCACAGGTATCAGTCCAACTTAAACCTTTCCATACTTTGTAGCGTCTTAACCAAAAACTGAATTGTTTTTCACTTAAAATACAAAGTAGAGTGTGCATATAAAGTGTAACAGTTTTACAAAATTAAATCTGAAAGTTTTCACCTTCATATAAATACAGGTCAAGCCTTCTTTAAGAAGTTTAAGCTCTGTCTGACAAAATGGAATGCATCTGAGATTATAACACTTCAACAATTGCTGCAGGTCATCAACTGGGTTTATATCCAGAGCCATTAACTCAAGGATTCTTAAATCTATCCTTTGATCTAAATGAGGGATTTTCATTCATTGACTGTCTGGTTGCTGCAGAAACCATGTCAGGACCCTGAGCGTGTGTGTGTGTACTCCTGTATTGTAGTACCTCATAGGGAGAACGATTCGTTCAACTTTTCCATCAATTTGAAGACCATTTGTAAAAAAAAAAACGGAGGACATTTTGCTGGTCCTACCATTCTTTTTTGCAAATAGGTTTACGACCGTGGTGTGAATTGAGTTTAGGAACAAGGTTAGGTATACACTGATAATGACTAGCTTTAATGTTACTGTCGGGATCAGGGCAAAGAATGGGTTGAAACTCGCTAAATATCAAACTTTATGTTACCTTGTAACATAAAGTAGCAAGACAAGAATATATGTGTGTTTAACACACATCAAGAATGTATCCACAGCTTGGTCTTAATGCCAACTTTTAGAACCTCTGGTAAGGTGGCACATACATTATTATTATTATTATTTATTTATTTATAAATAAGCCTGCAGCTGACCCATGGGCACCGGAGGAGGTGCGACAGGCAGAAATGCCAAGCAGGATTTAACACCCTCCTGTATTATCCTTATTATTATTTATTTATTTATTTATTTATTTTAGCTTTGGCGATATTCAGGTCGCTATGCTTGTTTTAAACAAACTAAATCCAGCATATTTTTAGCCTGGCCTTGCCCAATTGGGTTATTGCAAAGGAATGGGAAACTGGCAGCTCCCAGGCCATGTATGGCCCACTATTTCATTTAAAAGTTAATTTAGAAAAATTAGAAAAAATACATAAAAATGTCTTTGCAGTAATGAAGTAGTTGTAATAATACAGTGAAAAAGAGACATGGCAGGGAGCAGAGAAAACAGGAAATAGAAAACTGGATGGAGGAAATCACATGAATTTTCAGGCAAACTTCTGTGTTCAGTCTGCTTAGAGATGCTATCTGCCAGGAATGATTTTAATATAAGTCACTTCTATAGCACATTGCAAAAGCTAAGTCGAATATGTTATTGAAGCTGCAAGGGCTGCTATTGTAGTTGACTTCACATTGAAACAACAACACAAAAACCACTACCATATAGGACTCTTACACTCAGGGAAAATGAAATCATAGTAAATGGTTCTTATTGTTTGCTTCAAACCTTGTGCCTATATTTACTAAAGAAGAGTGCAATTGCTGTAACTGTATTTGGATAAGCAATATGTTAAGCTACTGCACTGTATGTTGGTTAGATAAACATACATAAAAATATATATTCAAAAATGCAGTTTTATTATATCTAGTTAAGTTTGCGTCCCGATAAAATCCTCTACAAGAGTCAGATAAAGTCACCTCCTTCCTTCAGTGAAGTTGTCCATCCCTGGCTTTAGGGATCTGCCAGGACTGAGTGATTACAGAATTTCTGACCCTCATGGAGTACCCCTGCAATCCATAAGTAGTTTCACCCCTTCAGTCGCATGCTGAAGACTTTTGATCAAACTCATTGGGTTACTGTCCTATTGCAATTCTTTGCAGGTTGTCATTTACAGTTGATATGTACTTTGCTATTCCATATTCTATTCAGGCTATCTTCCTTTTTTCTGCTACAGAAAAGCATCCCTGCACCAGGATACTGCAAAGCCCATTTTTCACATTATCCCTGACCTTTCTCTTGTGTTTCTTGGTATTTCTAGGTCCTGTCTGTTCACTAATGTTTTTTTTTTTTTATGTTCTTAAAGAAACCTCCTTGGTATGCAGAGCAAAGCTAGGATTACAAGGATATATTCAATTACTGTACTTGCTTAAATAGTGGATTCTATTTTTTATTAAGAAAAATCAATACACTTTTGCAAATCTTTATTAAAAAAAAAGATATAAAATACAGTGATGTTCATGGTTGTAATTTGACAAAAGAGTTACCAGAAAAAAATCTCAACCTGATCTTTACTTTTTTTATATATATATATATATATATATATAAATATAGAAGATCATTCACAAGACAGCCTATTCTCTATACTTGGGAGTGAGATGTCGTCTCATACTCTCAAAGAAAAAGGTATTTGTGGCTTTTCTCAGGAAAAACTACATTATATGTTGTTTTATGGGTCACAATTGTTAGGATGATGGACTACTGATATACTGTAGTTTATTATGAGCCCTGCAAGCCTTCAACACGCTCTAATATTGTTAAAAAGAAATATCCACAAATTAACATTCATTTGCATATGTGTATTGTACTTTTCTTAATAGAAACATGTTTTGGCATAATTCACTATAATAAAAACAAATAGGATTAAGAGGTCTAATAAAGGCAGAAAACCTGGATTGCAGCCACAGATGATTATACTGCAACAGAGGCTGAGGGGGTGATGAAAGATAGTCAAATTCATTTGCATGAGATATAAAGCCAGCTTTCTGCAAGAACTTGACTATCAGGTTATTTTCCAGCTGAAATGTGGATTTTTCTCTGAATACAATAAGTAATAGAGGATCAAAATCAGATTATAGTTTACCTGTAGCCACTGCGACTGGTCACTGTGTCCAGCTGTCCAGGCATTAACCTTTCCCTGTTTGTCCAAACGAGCTTTTCCAGGCTCCCAAGTGAACATGTCCATGTTGAGTGTTCGGAAAATGCTGGAAGCCGTGACCTGATAATCCTGAACATGGCCTGACTTCATCCCAAGCGGTTCAGAACAACCTTAAAGAAGGAAAGGGTTCAGATTTATTTGTGTGCATTTCATACTTAACAGAGAAGATGTAAAAAAGAGCTTTATCAATGCTACCTGCCCATAGAATTAAAAAAAACCTGATTACAGATTAAACCATAAAAAATTATACTAAGTCACCTTTACGACAACAGTCTTTAATTTGGATGCTGTCACTAAATAAAGATAAATCAAATTGAACTAAGGTGTAATTGGAGACGGTCAACTGATTTTAGCAACTTTCTAAATTCTATGAGAAGATAGAAATTCAATCTAAACTAAATGTTTATCAAACTAGCTGCATAGTGGCACAGTTTGTAGTACTGTTGCCTTGCAGCAAGAAGAACTTTTGGGTTCGACTCTCTCTGCATGAAATTTTTAATGTTCTCCCCGTGCATGCGTGGGTTCTCTCTGGGTATTCTAGTACCCCTACCACAGTCCAAAAAGGTTCACTTAATTGGCTTTCCTAAATTGTCCTTAGATGCAAATGTGTGTGCATGGGTGTGTTTCTCTGTATATCTCTGTGTTGCCCTGTGACAGACTGATGGCCTGTCCAGAGTGTACCCCGCCTTTCGCCCATAGACTGATAGGCATCGGCCCAACTGTAACGCTGATGGAATAAATGAGAGAAGATCGATGGTTGGATGGATCGATTTTTATCAAACTATGCAGTTAAAGGCCTACTCTCTATAGACTGAAATAAAAAAAAGCAGGTTTATTATAACTACCTTAAAATGTCCATGTTATGAAATATACTAGATTACCTGTAAGCAGTGTTTTACAAACCTTAAAGTTAAGAAAGTATGTTTGAAGTACAGTGAAAGGACTGCTCTTCAAAAAGAAGTCTTGCTAAACAAGTTTAACATAAAATGCCACAGATAGTTTTACTTTTTCAGCACAACCCTGTTTTACTCTCTTACATTAACAGTGTTTTACAGTACATTGAATTATAAATACATAGTGACAAAACAATTTGGTTTCTTTATAGCTTTCTAATTTTTATGACATTTTGAAGAGAAGTTTAAGTCACAAATAGGTCAAAGATAAAAAAAAAAAAAAAAACAGCTTAAATACTGGGACCCAACGTTCTGATGGGTGCATCTAAAACATTTTTTTTGTATAATAAAGACCACATACCTGTCAGCTCACAGCCAAGTAGCTCCATACGTAAGGTGCAGTGCCTCCTGCAAACTTGAGGGTAAACACGTACATATTGGGCTTCAATGGGAGGTGTGAAAGAGTTGGCTGATGGAGCATTGTTATCGACGTTTCCTCTGAAAATCTGTTAAACAGGACAAAACACCCACTGATGAGGGAAGATTGAATGGTGAAAAATATAACTCTGCTATAATATAACAATCTACCTACTGCACTCTGTAGTGGCTACCCACAGTGAACAAAATGCTGCCATTCTAGGTCAATGAGTGAAAATTAGTGGGAAAAACAACAACTTTCTGCATCATTTGAGCCTGATGATTCATAAAACCAGCAGTGTGTTAAAAATAATGATTTAAATTAGTGCCCCATGAATTTTGCAAGACTTTCTTTTGAGTTACTGAATAAAAATTATATTAACTAAATTATTTTTTTGAGAAGTTAAAGCAGCATCATGTTTTTTTTCAATTTTCCACAAATACAAAAAATAGATTAAATTATGAAACATTCAAGGACAGTTTAAAATAGGTACATCTCATTGAATGAATAAGACAAGGACAGCTGTAGATTTCTGTCAAGAATGACAGAATGCTGTGTGGCCTATTTGGAGGCTCTTCATTCCCAAATAGCGTATAAATTGAATCTAAAAGTCCTGGAAGTGGATAGGGGTAAAGGGCAAATGGATGTGTCCTATATGTTTGAGCTGATTAAAAAGCCATCTCATTATGTCCTCTACCTTGACCTTCAATAGGTATAGTCTTTGTTCTCTGAGTGAACATGTATGAGTATGAACCTTTATCAATATGAGAAATGATAGACAAAAGTGGATGATCTCTTACCATATCCTCATCTTTGCCCTTGACTTTGTATGTTCTCCAGGTTTTGCCATCATCACTGTATGCTACTTTGTATGACTTGACATACTCTGGACTGCCGATTCGTTTGGCGCCTTGGGTAATCAGTCCTGTTACCCTCATTCTCCTTTGAAGGTTTATCTGCAGATTTCAAACAGAGTATAAAAAACGATTCATTCTTTCTTGATTTTCTGGTTTGTATGCATATCAAATGTGTCTCTGTGGCGACAATGTGAGCATGTTTCTGTCAGGGTCATCTATTTTACTCCAAAATCCTGAAATCAAATAAAACAATTAATCAATTCACTAGATCCACATCCAAATATATCTGCAAATTGCAATCAGTGGATACGTTGTGAATGTGAAGCACTTTGGTGAGATAGAGGAGAAAAAAACAGTATCACAGAGAGAGAGAGATGATTAATGGTTGCTGCTGATGCTTTTTTTCAATGCTACTATAGTGAAATTTAAGTGAATAAGGTGTTTTATAAACCTTTAGTTTTGATGAAGTACAGTTCTGTGATATTATACATACGTTTTCGTTTATTATTAATGAAGCATGTTGTCATTTTTTTTAAATGCAAAGAAAGAGGATTAATTAAAATATTCCAACACAGAGCCCAGTACAGGTTAAAAAAGACATGCATCAAAATAAAAGAAAGCAATGGAAATATATAAACTTATTGTAACAGTAATAACAAAACCATGCTTGGTTTAATTGTTAAGGAACTAACAAAAAACTAAATATAACACAAGTCAAGAACATGACGTTAGAACAAAATAAACAAAAGAAGAGCCACAAATAGAGTTAGACATTTACATCAGCCAGCTGATATTTTTTACTTATATATGTGTGTTTTCCTTGTATCATTACTGGCAGATATGTGCATAGGTTTAACAGTGCATTCTGAAGCCATGCACATTGCTGTTCCCTTCGCTAGATATTTTCTACAAATCATTTACAAATGTTATTTTGTTGTTGTTGTTATTTGTGTTAATAACTTTTTCATGTGGTGTAACATTTGTTTTCATTGTGTGATCTTCGCCAGGTACTGTAACTAGAGAAAAGAAGGCAATATTGACCTAAAGAATCATATCAGTAATCATTTAACGTAATGTCAAAAATAACAGGTTAAAAACTTGCACCTAGCTAAAACCTACAAAAAAAATATATAAATAAATTAGGCATGAAAAAAAATTTACAAAGACAGTTGTCATGGTCCTGGTCTGATTGTTCCTGTTATCCATTTGTTGTCCTCTGCTGCCCTCTTGTGTCCTCCCTTCCTCTGTTTCTCTGTCCTGCCTTCACCTCTGCCTACTGGTCTCTGCGTTTGGGTCCTCCATACAAACACCGATTCATGACAGAAGGATCCAGCCAACAACATGGACCCAGCAGAGAACCAGGCATGTGAACTCCTCAGCCCTCCCCATCTACAGGAGTCTGACCTGTGGAGCTTTTTTTATGGGGAGAGAGAAGATTTTTTTTTGTTCCTGCCACTGCCATCAGCTCCAAGAGCCCCTCGGCGGGGGCTCCAAGCCTCCAAGGCCCCTCAGCGGGCGCTTAAAGCCTCCAAGGCCCCTAAGCGGGCGCCCCAAGCCTTCAAGTCCCCCTCCATGGTGGTTCCTGTGCCGCAGTGGGCGGCCCCTTCGGAGGCTGTTCCTGAGCCGCAGTGGGCGGCCCCTTCGGAGGCTGTTCCTGAGCCGCAGTGGGCGGCCCCGTCCGAGCCTGATCCTGTTCCTGAGCCGCAGTGGGCGGCCCCGTCCGAGCCTGATCCTGTTCCTGAGCCGCAGTGGGCGGCCCCGTCCGAGCCTGATCCTGTTCCTGAGCCGCAGTGGGCGGCCCCGTCTGAACCTGTTCCTGAGCCGCAGTGGGCGGCCCCGTCTGATCCTGTTCCAGAGCCGCAGTCGACGGCTCCCTCTGAGCCTGTTCCAGAGCAACAGAAGCGGAGGCGGCGTCCTCCCCGGCGCATCCTGCTGAAGCGGGGGCGGTGTCCTCCCCGGCGCATCCTGCTGAAGCGGAGGCGGCGTCCTCCTCGGCGCATCCTGCTGAAGCGGAGGCGGCGTCCTCCTCGGCGCATCCTGCGGAGGCGGCGTCCTCCTCCTAGGTTTCTGCTGCATTGGAGACGCCGGCCTCCAGAGCGTCTCTCTCAGCTCCGGCCCCACGGCCGGCCTCCAGAGCATCTCTCTCAGCTCCGGCCCCACGGCCTCCAGAGACTTTTTGTTTCCCTCGCCCACCCTGGGTGGGTTGTTTTGATTTTCGGACTCTTTTCTGTTTTTGTGCCTGATTCCCCCTCCGCCAACCCTGGGTGGGTTGTTTTTAGTTTCTGGACATTTTAGGGCGTCTGGGATCCGCCCTTAGGTGGGGGGTACTGTCATGGTCCTGGTCTGATTGTTCCTGTTATCCATTTGTTGTCCTCTGCTGCCCTCTTGTGTCCTCCCTTCCTCTGTTTCTCTGTCCTGCCTTCACCTCTGCCTACTGGTCTCTGCGTTTGGGTCCACCATACAAACACCGATTCATGACAACAGTATGGATATTAGAGCAACGACATAGAATCATCTTGATTCATAAATGACAGGCTGAGAGAGCAGATATGATAATGGAAATTGACAAAAGTAATAATAAGAAAAAATACATAAAATAGAATTCATGACTCAGAATATTTATAGACATATATATGTAAATATTAATAAATAAAACAAGTAAACAAGCCTGATGGAGCTCCTGAAATAAACTGTTGCGCAAAACATTGAGAGATTCAATTAATCAGGTGTTTTCTGTAATGTTCAAGAAATGTTCAGTCAGATTTCTGCACCTGTTGACAGGTATGATGTTTCACTGTTCATGAGCAAGGTTCTTTAATTTGTCTAATACTGTTTGTTTTTTAGAATTTTTTCTTGAAGAAAATTTCAAAAGCGATATATTATTTTATGAAATTATCATAATTTTGTAAATTTTCACTTATTATAACTTCTTTCAGTTTTGTGTTATTTGATTACTAGTATGAATTTATCATTAACTTTAAAGGGAAGATGGGTAAACTTTCAGGTAAAACTCTATGAACTAAAAAGTATTGATTTCATTGGGGGAAAACTCTCCTTGTTAAATAAAGTAGAGTGGTGTATTGATGACCTGATTTCTAAAAACTCCCATAAAAAAAAAAAATAAATAAATGAATAAAGTAATGAAAATGTTTGACATAATTACAAAGACAATATTCAATAATGATGCCTCAATACAACACAACTTACTCACACTACCTGTGACAAACTGACAAGCAAGTGAATTACTATTGAAATAGGCATCGGTAAAGACACTGTGACAGCTCAGGAAGAATATGATAATACTATAATTATAATCAATATTGCTAAATTAGGTGATTGACATTAACAAATACTTGTCCTTTGGCACTAAATCTCAAGATGAAAAGATGGTTAAATGCCTGATAAGTACTGTGATTAAACTGGATGGTTTCAGCTAATTTAGTTTTATTCAGAATGAATCCTGCATGTTAAACAAGAGAATGAAAAAAGAAAGAAAAAGGAAAGGTTTTAGGAATTATAAAGACTTCTTTTTTAAGGGAGCAACATTTCCACTGAGATTAAAAATGGCTCAATTAAAATAGTTTTGAGGCTTTAAGAAATCTCTTTGCAGTATTCTGAAAATACAAAGATAGCAGAAAACAATGTTTAATCATATTTAGCATTGAAAAGCAAACAAAAAAGCAACAGTTTTCAATTATTTTTCCCTCTACCCATAAAAACAAATAATTTTATTCCGAAATAATTCTGCTCTGTCCACAGGCGAGCACCCTTTTGATAAACATAATGTTGGGTTTGCAGCTTTCAAGTAATAAATGATTAATCGTAACTGGAGTATAGAGACTGTAAAACATGCCACTTAGAGCAGTAACTATACTAAGATTGTAAAAACTATATAAATATTTAGCATTTAAGGTAATAAAAAGTTTTCCATCTGTCAATGTATTCTATCCAGAACTCCTTAAGTAGAAAAGCTTTAGTTTCACCTTGTTTAAGTCTGTAAAAAGTCTTCTTTATGTAACCTTTTGCTATCCAATTATTACTCAATTAATCGGAAAAAAAAAATCGAGAGATTAATCGATAAGCAAAATAATTGTTAGTTGCAGCCCTACTGTAAATGTAGTAAAGTAACAAAGTTTTTATTTTGGTGTGGCATTTTCACATTCTTCATTGCACTCCCTAAGATATAGACTAGGAGCTTCCTGTCGGCATTCTAGAATAACGTATATAAAAGCCTCAGCTCTTCACATATACAGTACTTGGTACCTAAGATGACAAAACATTTTAACAATACACCAGACTGCAGCAGCTTTCATAAGTCTGAGTAATGTATTGCGTCTCTGTTTTCTACACTCTTTGTTCATGATCTGTCAATACTTGTTGGAAATAGAGCCATGTGGTGTGCAATTCTGGGAAGCTCATGAGAAAGTGAGAAAGCTGATGTCAGTTGATGACAACTCTCATCTTCTCGTGACAAAATGTGAAGGCCTTTGGTGATCAAGCAGTGGAGCCTTTTTGGAGCGATCAGAGAATGCTCACAGACAAATGGTTGAAAAAAGAGCTAAAGGACGCCTCAGCTTAAAGAGTAAAGACCATCTTTCAGTATTGGTTGCAACCCTGTATGTTATTCATGAAACACATGCAACACTTGTGAAACTGATTGACACCTCTGGTAAGAGTGTCTAAAAACCTCAATATAGAGGAACCTTTATTGCAGCAACATTTTGCTAGACTATAGCCTTCTTTTGATTTTAGTACATATTAACTTTTACTGTGATAGTGATGCAGTGAAGCAGCATTGGGGCTTAGAAGAAGAACAGAAACATAAAGGATGTGGTTGTATTTTCATAGTGTTGAAAGGGTAAGAAAATAGATGGAATATTGGTAAATATCAGTCATGTTTCATCACAACAATATGATAATCTAAATTGGCCCAATTTTGATTATTGGTTCACTCCTTAATGAGAAAGAACAAAGAAATGAAAAACTGGTCACAAGAAAACTATGAAGTGGGAGAGCAGGTTGGATGTGAACTATGACTTTAATAGTGGGAGTGAAATATAAATAAACCCTGTAAACATACAAAAATATCACAGTGAACC